GTGGCAATTAATGCGCCGCGAGACGATACACAAGCGGTGTGCCGCAATTATTACACGCGCGCTGTGAGAAGCGTCGCTTCTCCTTCAATAATCACCCATGACTCAATTTTCCCTGATCGCCTTCCCGCGTGCGTACGGCCGAAAATAATAGAGTGCGAGTACGTGCACGATTTGCCGACGTACAAACTGTAAATTAAACGGTAAGAACCACCTTGTGTTCTTTTGTTATATTCAACCAGTAATCGTCTCCCTTTCGTTTCTCTCCGTTTCTCTATTTGTCGTTTCTACTCGTACATGCTGCTATACTGTTACTTGCGTATTCCGAGCTAAGTAACGGGTGTGACACACATACGTGCACGGAATTCCAAGCGCGAAGACACGCGGCTTCACCTGCCGATGCCAGTGTTCAGGTATTTGTGATCGGGGAGATGAAAGAACGTTTGGAAAATTTGCGCCGAATATAGCCGACAAATAACAAACGAGACTCCGAGAGGCTTCGATTATTAACGCAGAAAAACGACACGATCGTCTTAACCCGAGTATTTGCCATTCGCGTCCACCATCTTTCGCCATTTTTCAGCCGGCGCACCGATTAAAATTAAATAATCAAATCTTCCAATAAACTTATATACACACACACGATATAAATTAATATAAAGGCAAAGAAATCAATAATGTACATATCAATACAAAATCAACCACTCTTAATCGTTCGGGATCGCATCCAGCGGCGAGAGAATATTTCGTCTTTCGACACGACGAAGTCGTCGAAACCTTCTTTTCCAACATCTAATCTCATTTTGAAAGTGTATGTCGGAGAGGCTGCACCATATCGAAGTATGCGACGCGATGTCCGGAGAATGCGTTGGGCGAGACAGAACTTCCTATCCGAGATCAGATAGAGCGTTCGTCGTCTGACGTCATGAGTAACAATAGGGCCTCACGTCGGCGTCGTCACCATCGGAGCAATTATGACTTCACGTCGTTTTCAGGCACGCCGGCCAATTCTTTCCGAGCGGTTCGGCCAGTTCAAACGGTTTCACGTGCTGCACGTTTCGCCGTTTGACCGTTTGACACGTGGTGGAAAGAGCTCATAATTAAAAGGGCAGTGCTCCACGTTCCTCCTACCAGATGGACGGAGGAGCAGCTTCCCGCCGTGTGCGTTTCGTCAAAGCCGTCGGTCTTCGAGGATATCGCTTACTTCCTTCCTGATCGCCGCTCTTTCCGATTCCCGAAGCGTCTCCAGGCACTTTTGCGTGCGGAGGATCGGAGAGACGAGGGAGCGTGCTCTTCGCTAAGAGAGGCTAATGGCTTCCCAAGGCGGCGGGTAAAGCCCGGTGGAGACGCGAAGATTGTATTTTTAGTCGCGCTCCTATTATATATATTCCCTTCGGAGTTCATAGAGACGCCGGTGGTTCTCTTTTTCTCTCGCGAGGAGGACTCGTTTCGCCTTCGGGATTATGCAAATTGATCAGCGCCAACCGAAATCCCGCATGGGGAACGAGGACGGTATCTCCTCCTCCTCCTCCCTCGGCTTCCTGCCTCCCTGCACCGTGGTGCTCAAACCCTGCCTACAAACCGTGATGATTCATCGTCACGAGACGTCGCGTGCGCGATTAAACTCATTGAAAACGAGACCGCCTTCGTAACTTCGATCGAAGCTGTGTATGTGTGTGCGACTTCGGTAATCGCCGGCTGCCACTTTTCGCGCTACCATCGATGATGATGGAGCTACTGTTCTTAAGTGTCCGGAAGAATGACCCCCGGGAAGGAACACAGGTCCTTCCCTTGGTTTTCTTTTCGGAAGAAAACAGTCGTGTTTTGGGGAGGGGAATTTTTATTTTTGACTTCGGGGACAGAACGCGCAAACGTCCTCGATGCACAATGACATTGAAACAAGCTCGATCGTGGGTCCTCGTACCTGCTGATCTTGAAAATCGGATTTCCCGTGTGTACACGCAACGATATTTAAAAAGCATTTACCTCGAGCAGGTTCATCCCGTGATTTCGGCGTGGCTAAGTAAACGGCCTCGTTGAATAATAATCAATTTTATTACATGTATCGGCGAAACGATTGAACTTGAACCACGTGTGTTTAGGAAAATTAGATCGGACGGTCTCGTAATAAGTAACGAGGCTCGCATGCAACATTTATCGAGTAAATCGCTTCTGACAGCCGAACGTACGAGCCCTGTTACACGATTGCAAATCGATCGATCGCGGAATTTGCCAGCTGTTCTTCCGTCCGACGCGAAATGCGCAAACCGCGTCTCTCTTTCTCCCTCTCGAATATCCGACGTTCTTAATTTTATCCAACGTTTTTACCCCGCGAGGACTCGCGATGTGAGTCTGACAGTTCTGGTGAAACGAAAATGTTACTTCTTAACTTGTATAATATTATTATATTAATATAATATTATATATAAATATACGCTTATTTCATTTGTATTTTTCTAATACTTCAAAGAATACATCTCCGAAGAGCGTCGACTTTGAAGATTACATCTACGGGACACTTTGATCCTCCAACAATCCTTTACCTCCGTTAAGTTCTGTTACTAATCGCAAATTTAAAGGTATTTAAATCCCGCGTAAAACTGGGCAAAGTTCTCTAAACGGTCGGGAATTTCGCGTCGCCGCCGACGACGAGAAAGGGATTCACGTGCGTCTCGTTATCAACGAGAAATCGCGACCGCGTTATTATGTCGTATTCTAGCACGAGTTAACAGTGGAGCGCCGCCGCTCTATCAATCATAACTGTTCCGGGCCGAGTAACGACAACGGACAACCGTGGATGCGGAGAAAAAAATTGTATGATGTATGAACCCTCCATGTTGGAGAATGTCCGCCTCCGAATGTCAAAAACTGGGTGAGATCCGTTCCCTCCCGTGGCAGAATACCGCACGTACCCCAATTCGTATTCCGTTCTCGCGCCGGCCTTGCCCCTCATAATCCTCCAATGATCAGAGTCGAAATTTGGGCCTTGTATTAAATCTTTCATTCGACAACACGGTAGGAGCTAAGACAGCGATCCAACTAACACGTATGTCTAAGAGACCTCTTTAGACGCTTTAGGACGCTTCTTTACACATAATGCGTTAAATGCGTTTTTATTTTACGTTCATATATATGCGTTTATATATATTTTTATATAAATGCGAAACATTCGTGAAAATCTTGAATATTAAGAAATATATATTACACGCGCGTTTTCTTCATAGTGAAAATAGATTCGGAAATTGTATTTATCTCCCTGACACGATATGTATTCGTGTCAGGGAGATAAATACAATTCCCTGACACGATATGTATTCTGTCACGAAAAATAAAAATGTTTATATATTTTCCTTGTAATACGTACTGTGTACAAAAATATGCGCAATAATAAAATTAATAAAACGAGGTTTATTTATATGTATGTGATGCAACGTATTTTTTATTGATCATTTTGAAATATATTCTGAAATAATACCGAGGAAGAATATTGAATATATTTTTAATTAATCCTAAATTAATCTGTAGAATTGAAGGTTCAACAGAGAAGTTAACAAATTTATCAGTATCGTCAAAGTGGGTTTTTAATAGTTTATAAAACATCTGAGTAGACGCAAATTATTCTGGAGAGCGTCAGAGTAACGTCAGAAAATTTCAATTCGGGTTCGATGCCGGCGACGTGTCTCTCGGATCGGACCGAACTTGCTCTCGGAAAGGAGGATCCTCGCTTTCCGCTTTGTTCCCCCGTCACGATTTCTCAAACTGAACGATCCAAACAACAAAAAAACACTTCTCCCTCGCCGTTCGTTCGTTCGCTCGAACTATTTCGCGGTCGAGCATTTTTACGCTGACCGGAGAATTTCCCGTCGTTCCAGCACGTGCATTCCTCAGCAGTGAACGCTGATGCGGGGCCTGGAATCCAGGTGCTGATATCCCGCCACTTCCAGAGAGAAAAAGAGAGAATGACGAGGAAAAAAACCGACCGTCTAACGTTTCAACGGAGAAACGACAAGAATTTCCTTTGCTTGCTCTCTCACATTGTTGCGCAACGCGGCAAAAATCGGCTTTTAATAATAACGGCTGTCCGGCGTGACGGATAATAAACGCGCGCGAATAATAAACGGGCACGTTTTAATCGCGACTGATGTCACGACGCAAAAAAAGAATGCGCAATTTTAGCCTTGCGATAGCGTACCAACTATTCGGCGTCGCGTTTCTCTCTCTCTCTCTCTCTCTCTCTCTCTCTCGGCAAAAGGATAAACACTACCACTACATACATGCTAATTCCGTTGGCGTTTGCTCGTATGCAAAAAATAGGCAATCAATCTTCGGGCACGGAGAGAAGAGCGATCGCGTGAGATACAGGATGTCCCGAAAAAATATACACACACATTTTAACGATACTCGATGCCTACGATTCTATCGTTTCACGTTATCCGCAGCGCGTGGAACGGTCATCGATTTGAAAACAGACGTTGACAGAAAAAAAACACTATTCATATCCGTAGACTCTTTTAAATTTTGAAAACGAACCGTGTGTTAATGAACGCCTTTGTAATCGTTCCAAGTGTGTATGTGTGTACACACTTTTTTTCGGGACACCCTGTATGCACGCACGTATCTTTCACATCCTTCCACATCNAAAAAGCCCCCCCCCCCCCCTCCGACGGAGCCTGAATCTTTTTCTCGACCGACTTATCCATGATAAAAATTCAAAAAAGATCCTGAACCCTTCGTCCTTGACCTTAAGCGTCGGGTAGTCGCAGAAGCCGGCGAGAGGGCGAAAAGTTCGGTTCACGCTTCGGCTCTTCCGCGCGTGCGAGAGAAAAGGACGCAAGAATTCCACGCAGGCAACGACGCGTTGATAGTCGTCGTCGATAGAGCGAGAGAGACAAACGTTGAATTCGTCGTCGTCTATGTCGTGTCGCCCTTCAACATCTTCCCGACCACGCGAGAGAGAGAAAGAGAGAGAGTGATCCATGATCTACTACGAGGGATCTACGTACCTAAATTCCGCCGGATCGATCGCTCAATGCGCGCCACTCGCGCGGACAACAGCGTCGTCGTAGCCGCGTTCTTCAGCCGGCGCGAGGAGGCCGACTCTGCGCGCGCGCGCTCGCTTCTCCTCCTCTCAGCGTCCCGCGCAACTCATCTCCGGCCGACTTTTCACGGGGAGGATAGAAGCTCGAGAAAAGACGGGCACACGCTCGTATATGTGTGTGTTTATACTCGGAGTAACGCGAAGATGGATAGACCGAAATGGGGAAATGGCGATCGTGTGCGCACGAGACCGATGTCGTCAACGTACTGACACTCGGTCGGCTCCGTGAGACCGGAACGAACTTCCCTTGGGAAATGACGTGTATCTCGCTCGCTCGCTCGCTCACTCGCTCGTTCTGCAGTCGTGCAATCGTAAGGTGAACGGCGAGAGATACGTGCATGGAGGAAGAGAGAGAAAGAAAATTAGAGAGAAAGAAAGAGAGAGGGGAGAAGGGAGGGGAGAGCGAAAGAGACGAAAGAAAGACGTAGTGAGAATCGAATTTCCGCGACCGGCCGGCCGGCCGGTCGGCCAATAGCGCGCGCGTCCGACCGAGCGGGTCCACTCGTTGGCGCGCAGGCGCGATAGCCGCCGGCTCGGCGGCGACGCGCGTACTTATTACTTGCCTCTGTCGAATGTCGGATTTTAATCGAACGGCTTGTTTCCTCACATGCGTATGTTCCCCGAGGGAATGTCCTGGAATTGTTTTTACCGAAAAAACTGAGTGAGTATTCGCGTGAAGGCGACTCCCTTCGGAAGTCGAACAAACTCGACACGTACGTCGTCGGAATATGTCCCCGAGTAACTTGCAAAGAGCGAGAACCTCTCGCTTTTTGCAATCGCTCGTTGTTCATGAACAATCGATTTGTACAATCGATTTATACAATTCCGATCACTCATGCTTCCGAGCAGCACACGACGTCGACATTTAATTAAATGACGTAACGTCGTTTTCTTTTCGCACGGACATGCTGAAAGAAAAATTTGGCAATAAGTACTGGAATTCGGTGAATATTTTTGCCGATCAAACGTTTGATTATTGCAATCAAATAATTTAGTTCCACATATGTATATATTGTATGTACGGAACGAAATTATTTGGTTACAGTAATCAAACAATTGGCTGGCAAATATTCACCTGATTTTAGCACTCATTACCAAATCCTTTCATCGGTGCATATACGATAACGCGTGTTATCGATAGCGAAAACGAGGAGAGCCCGCAATCTTCCGCGCTCGCGGAGACGCGATGTTTCTCGATGCGAACGGGAAAGAGAGGAGCGTGTCCGGTCGATCGATCGGCCGAAGTCCGCTCTTTTCGTTCGATCCGAGCTGTTCGTGAGGAGGCGTGCATCGTTATTCCGCTTCGACGATCTCGCGCGTCGGTGACGAGATTCCCTCAGTCCGGCAAAAGTCGATGACGATGACGAGGAGGGTGACGATGACGACGACGGCAAATTAGGTCGCGGTCGTGCGAGACCCCGAAAGCCCTCCCCCGCGTATTTCAATGAATATACATCGCCGCGCGCACGAGTCCGCTTGTCCCATTTTTGTACTCGTCATTTTGCACCATATCAACCGGAGTACGTATGTAGATCACCCCGGTCGCAACACCGATCGCATATGCATGCGCTCGCAACAAGTATTCAGAATGCCAGTTCCACTTTGTACGTTGCATATGCATTTATGCAAAGCCCGAGATCAACGTAACGTGGCGTGTTTGTGCCGACCGCTTCATGCACCACGTCCACGGAGGAGGACAACCCCGAGGAGCGTGCACTTTAAAAACACACGTACACCACGCACGCGTCGTCATACAAGACATCTTTGAGACGTCTTTGAGACGTCCAAAAGACGCCTTACGTCCCGATTTTGGGGAATTTTCGACATCGTGTCGTTTGGATATTTAGTTGACCGCGCGAGATCGCGCGTCCTTCGAGGAGGAAAAAGGGAGAAAAGAAAAAAAGAGATATCGAGTGTCGACGACGAGCGACGAGGAAAATTGCTCGATCGACATTCGATCGACGAACACCGCACGACGACGACAATGACGACGCGGTGAAGACGCGCCAACGCGCGGCCGCGCATATCCTCGCGAACGTCGCCGACAAATTGTTATCAATTGAATAATGAAGAGCGCGCGCGCGGAACGTAACGGCCTATTGAATCGTTCGTCGATATCGCGCCCGCTTTTCCGATCGTCAGTCGCCGGCGACCGCGCCGTTTCTCGCAAGTCGAGACACACTCGGAGATTAATTAGTTCCGCGTGTCGCGCTCCGGCATTCGCGCTACATTCGGTGTCGATCGCGCGCGTCGTTAAGAAAAAAAATTCCACGATCGTCCGCGGCAATTCGGCCGATCTCACCGCGTAAATCAGCTGATGAAATATGAAACGTAAGGGAAAGACACCAAGACTGATGTATTTTTTATTCTTTGTTCTAAGCGTTATCTCAAAAAAAAAAACTTCATTTACTTCGAAAAATAAGCAAAAAGACGAATTCGAAGCAATGTGGTTTTTGATGTGTCAGTTTTTCAATAAATGCCGTTTCTTCTATTTTAGAGGTTTATCGATAAAAAAATCTTCTGCCGGGAATGCCGCTTGCTTTTCAAAGTTTTATAATGGGATTTCGATGTTATAACGATAACTGGACGTCCGGTATTGGACATCCGGACGTGACGTCGGTATTGAACGTCTAATACCGATATCATACTGAAATCATCACTCAATATTAAATAATATGACTAAAATACTATTAGAATATTACGTCTAATATTCTAAGAATATACCCAGAGTATTACTTAATATTAAATAATATTACGCGCTTATAGGGTAGTAACAGTATCATGCCAAATTTCGGTTACTGGACGTCCAATACTGACGTTATAAGCCGAAATTCCTGCAATACCGATATCTACACAAATCGGTCTGTTCCTTTACGGTTGTCATCCTTTACGGTTGTCGTCGCTGATAATGCTGAAAATTAATCGAAATATGAAACGACGGTGCTTTTAATAGCGGTTTCAATCCCCAGTGGAGAGGGACTAACCTGGGGGAAAAAAAGATCATACGTGAAATCTGCCCATGTATGACCATATATAATCACACATGCCCGCGACGAAAATAAAACTGTTGCTTACAAATTACGCGAAAATACAATCGGAGTAAATGCTTTTGGCTACTTGTGGCTTCCGACAGCACGCGATATCGACATTTAATCAAACGACATAATATCATTTTTTTCATACGGACACGTATGGTCATACATGTAATCACATGTTCGGACAAAATTCATGATATGATTTCATACAATTACATATAATCGTATATAATCATTTTTCCCCGGGGAGGCTGAAACGCCTTAATGAAAATGCAATCGGGAATGGTACGAACACGCGAGTATTAATATGTCCGTTTAATACGAAATACATGAGGCGATGGCGATACTAGATCAGCTTGGTAGAGACAGTGACCGTTATATTATATTCCGTGGTAATAATATATATATAGTTCAACGTACAAACTATATACCTGTAGTAAACTCTAACTCGGAGGCGGTATATATTATATGTACACAGCTTTAGACCAGGCCTGGATAGTCGTCAGGTCGACGGGGATCGGTCGATACGATCCAGGATCGATCCTGGCCTGGACCAACCTCGATCCTGCCCTCCTACGGTATAGCTGCGGATTCCCCCCGTTCGATTACCGCGCGAGACGCGTACTCACGTGTGTACTTTCCGTATTCCTCTCTATTAGCTAGTTATTAACATTTATACATAGTACAACCGGGTGTCACACGCACGCACACACACGCGTACACACATACACGGCACACAGGTACGCTCTGACCCGCTGGTAGGACCGTGCAAGGACCTTTGATCGAGGATACACGCGAGGTTCTTCAGCTCGGGGATCCTCGAGACGCGAGCCATGAAATCTCTCTGCGAGCGAAAGATGCCGGCGAACGAGGATGATGATGATGATGAGCACGTGCACGGTTGAAATTGGGTACTCACTGTGTCGAAGAGAACGACGCGAGGCACACGAGGCAGTCTGAGAGAAGAAGCGACGTCGACCGTGGCGCGAGTTCGAATCGACTGATGCTGGAGCCCCGTGCGATGCTCGGAAGTGTCACACGTGTCAATTGTCCGCGATGTAAACAATTCGCCAGGCAAACAAACCGACCGCAGCGGCTCAATCAAATCGGCGGACATTATACGAAGTCAAAGCATACAAGTTCCGTTCCCGGGGAACGCGAAAGCGTGGCGTGTTTCGATCATTCACGAGGCCAGTGTTTGCCGGTATCTAGATGAAATTATTTAAATCTAATCATCCAGATGAATAGATCGTCTTTATCTATATGGGAGAAATGTAAAATATATATTTATCTTAAGTAAAAAAAAAAAAAACATGTTATCTTATCGAACAATTATCTAGAATGATGTCATGGTCCATATTCTGAACTGACTTTTCGATCAAATAAATGAAACAATACTGTGAAATAAAAGTGTCCAGAATATATTTTATCATACGGAAATCTCGAGAAGCAATATTTTATAGTCAAAGGATCAATAAGCGTTTGACTTTTCTCGGTTAGAAAAAGAAACATTATTATAACTGTCGTTGACTCTATCTGAGAGGCAAATAAAAACAGATACGAAAATTGAAATTTATTATATTCATTGATAAGAAAAAATAATAACAAATATGAATTTTACGATCAAAAAAGCCAATGTATTCAAATTTCAACGAGTTTTTTTACATCGGTATTTATTTGCAGTCGAAGAAATGCATCTGACTATGAATCATAGGCTTGGTTTATTTGAGTCACAGAGAGACAACTTGATACGGAGCACGGCATCGCAAAGTGTGCATTGTTGATTGATTTCAACGAATTAAAAATCACTTAAATGACCATAAGTTTCAACGGATCCAATAAAGATCATTTAATTAACGATTGGTACGTGCGAAGAATATCAAAAAAGTTGTTTTCCCCACCAAATTTACAACTTCGGGCGCTACAGTTATTCTAGAATTCTTCTCGTTTGCGGTGATCTTAATCATTATTGAACGGTCTTACGTTAAATTTGTTTACATCAATCGTCAATCAAACAGCCTAATTAAATCTGCTAAGTTCAGCCATCAATCGAACGTGTCTACGATTCTTCTCACTCATATCGATCGTCAATCGAACAACCTT